CGTCTTCACCCACAAACACGCGGCTGTCCAGGGTCGGGGGGCCCCCCCGCGGGGGGCCCCTCTGCAGGGGCCCCGCCGCCATTGGGGTACCCCCAGATGAGCTAGAGAGAGAACGAGAGAGGAAGCTAGCAGTGAGCCGCTTGAGCTTGGATGCCTGGCGACGCACTGCACGGCCTACAGAAGATGAGTTTCTGTTGCGTCTGCTGCTGCTGCTGCTGCTGCTGCTCGCCGCTGCTGCTGCTAAGCCCTGCTGCAGCAGCTCAAACTCCCGCTGCAAAGTACCCGCACGCGCGCCTGCTGCTGATGAAGAGGATGCTGCTGCTGCTGCTCCCGCTGCTTCCGCTGCTGCTCTTGTTGCTGCTGTTGCTACTGGACGTCGGTAGTTGTTAGGCCGCCCCGGCCAGGGCACGAAAGTAGAGACTGTCTCCTCCTGCTGCTCCACCGTCTGCTGCAGCTTCTGCTGCAGTTGTTGCTGCAGTTCTTGCTGCTGAGGCGGCTGCTGCGGCTGCGTCGCGGGCTGCTGGTCTGTACCCCTGTCTACCGAAATTATCTCGCCCTGTTCATATGCCTGACTTCGTGCCTCCCCAGCGGTGCACTGGCTGCTGCTGCTGCTGCTGCTGCTGCTGCTGCTGCTGCTGCTGCTGCTGCTGCTGTGCGAGTTTCTGTCGTATTTAGGAAAGCTGCTGTCGCAGAGGCCCGTCCCCTCCCGAGGCGAAAACTCTGGTGGCCTCTTGTTGTATTCTTGCCGCACTGGCTGGTGCTGTTCAGATGTACAATCCAGCTGCTGCTGCTGCTGCTGCTGCTGCTGCTGTTGTTGTTGTTGTTGTTGCTGCTGCTGCTGCTCTAGGCTGCAAGCATCCACTGGGACCGAAAAGGGTGGCTGCGCCAGAGGCCCCGCGCCCTGCAGCATTGCCAGGGCCTCAATCCCTCAACAGAGCCCAGGGCCCCTCTAGGGCCAGGTAACAGCAACGGTTGCTGTAGCAGCAGCAGCATCAGTGGCTGCTGCTGTTGCTACTGCTGCTGCTGTTAGACGTACTTGTGGCAGCACCAGTGACAACAGCAGCCAGCTCACTCAGTTGCTGCAGCAGAAGAAGCGCTCACCAGGCCTGCTGTGCCTCGGGAGCCCTTCTGCTCTGTCGTTGCTACTGCCTCCGTTTCTGCTGTATAGAACCAGTGGTGCTGTTGCAGAGCAACCCTCAGCTGCTGCAGTGTGTATTCACTGATGGCCCCCGGAAACGGCTTCTGTAGGCCTGGCTCCATGCACCTGCAGCTGCTGCTGCTAGTGCGCTGCTACTCTTCTGCTGCTGCTCGATAGCCTTCCGCTGCTGCAGCAGGGCATTCCCGCTGTCGTTGCTGCAGTGCAAATGAGAGGGTATTGGGGCCCCCCGTACTCATCTGCAGCAACTTTGTCGCTGCTCNCGTTGCTGCAGTGCAAATGAGAGGGTATTGGGGCCCCCCGTACTCATCTGCAGCAACTTTGTCGCTGCTCCAGCGTTTTGCAGGAGAAGCAGCGCAGCAGCAACAGCAGCAACAGCAGCAGCAGCTATTACTGTCGGTGCGGCTGCAATGGGTACACACGCGACGGCTTCAGCAGCTCACTACCACCCGTATTCATGCAAACTGCATGCAGGCGTTCTGCTGCTGCTTCGTACTCATATGTCTCTAAAGGCAGAGCCGCTGGAGCGTCGCCTGGCGCTGGCTGCCAGCTGCTGCACCAGTACTGTATCTGCTGCAGCAAGGGGGCCCCCTTGAGTGGTAGGTGTTTCTGAAGAGAAGTTGTTTCTTGCAATAACTTAACCATTAAAACATAAAGTGTAATGGAAGCTCTTCTAAAGGGGTCGCCGTTTCGCTCCAGCCAACTCTGGGGCCCCGCCGGGGGCCTCCTGGCATCGGTATAGACTGAGCAGTTGAACTAAGAAATAATATAAA